TCTTCTTTTGGTTTTTTCTGGGTGGGGATGACAGACCCCTACCTATTTTGGACGGGGTCAACTTTTTTAAAGTGTTATCGAGAATAGAGACTACAACCTTTAACTAGGGCTTAGGGGGTGCTACCACCATGACCCAGCCCCATTCTCAACAACCTCATCTTCTGTAACAAATACATGCAAAATGTTTTAAATCACATGACTTCATGTTCAGGATATATTGTCTTTGCATCTAAATTTGGGCGTGCCTATTTCCACAAAGAAATGCAAGCTGATCGTTTCTTCTTTCCTTTAAATTTATGTAAGAGCCATTTCAAATAGTGTTCATGATGTACTCAAAAGTTTTGGGAAGTAGATATGGTCATTTCAACGAATGTATTATGTTAAATTTATTTGGGCCTATCTTTTCTTGGAGATCACATTAGTACACATAACAAAAACGTTCGAGGAATCAATTTCAATTTGTTATTATAAACTTGGCAGGAAGATGCTATTAAAATGATATCTAATTTGGAGCCTGTAAAATAAATGGAGATCTCTTCATGCCCAGACTATATTAAGGCATGTGTGAGACCTTCGATTATTACATCCACACAAGCCGTTCTCCTATACAAACTTGCAGAAGTAAAACCCTATCAGTAAGAATATAAACACATCAAGCACAACTTCCAATCTGACTTTGATCTCTAGAACTTTGGCTGTTATGGTTTATGTTAGTGTTAGTTTGTTGAAGGCAGTGTCTTTCTGGGCTATGAATTTCTTCTTCTTGATTGCGTCCAAAGTAAAATTTGAAAACTGAAATGGGCCTAATCCATTTGCACCTTCTGATTTCTAATTTCTCGAATTTAGCTTTTCCATTGAACCCATAAGTCCCTTGCTTTTGGATTAGGCATTGTAATTCTGAACTATAATATTATTGTGTTTTCTAGTTCATACATAAAAAGAGGTCTTCGTATGTGATCAATCCTTTGCCTGGGCCAAAAGAATCCCCTGAATTTAAGCTAGGAGCAAAATAGAGTTGGAAGAGCAAGTTAATTCATTTCATTTTCTTCTCCAAGTACAAATTCCTATGAAGTATCCCACTCATTTGATGCTAAACCTCACACAATTGCTCCATCAAGAACCTCTGTTTCGAGCTAATCATTGAAAGAACCCAGTTTTAAGTTCGGAAAAAGGGATCAACATGAATCGGGTGCCACCTTTGGAATTGACTGGTGAACTATCCAGCAGGAAATCTAAACTCCACCATTCCTAAAAATTTCTGAAGCGTCATCTCAAATTCCAGTCACAAAGCATAGTGGCAAATCTACTGAATAAGGACCTGCATTCAAACTGTCTCTACCCTTATCCAACAATTACAATACCCAAAAGGCCAAAACCCAATTATATTGAATCCGAAGAAGTAGCAAAACTATATAAATTCAAATAACTTCAAATGTTTTCATGCTTTTGGCAATTTAAATGTAGTATCTCCATATTTTATATGAAGATATCTGTTACTTCTATCTCGAATGAAACCATACAAGATTCAGTGCATTTGTAGAACTATAACTTCACCATGGACTAGAAAGGATGGAAGAAAGCTAAAAATAAAAGTTCCCTGCAATATATTGTTGTATAATCGGGAAAACCCAATCTTCCCGTTCACCAAGTTGGGATATATCAAATCCCACTTTCCACACTCAAATAATATGGCCAAGATGTAATAATAAGTGCAATATAATTGGGAAAAAAATATAAGAACAACAAAACAAGCAATATGGGAAATCAGCAAAGCAGCACAACACAAATGAAAGCAGTGAGGGACACGCACATATACGTGGTTCACCCACGATGGGCTACGTCTATGGGCAAGACGGCAAAGGTATATTCACTATCAAGATGAAAAAATTACAGGACAGAGTTACCTCATACAATCTCAAGGAATGCTCAAACACAGAACATCCTACCATAAAACCACCAACAGTGGATCCCTTTCTTCGATTCACTGCATCCGCGAAGAAATGCCGATAAAATGGCTCAAGAAGAGCCGCGATGGTGGCGCAAGGGTTTCATAATGAAACCCCCAAATTTTCTCCTCTTGTAAAACTCTCTATTTTCACCCTTTTATCCCCTTTTAATCTCTTGCCCACGCACCTTTTTCTCTCTCGTGCGCTTCCTCTTTTTCCCCCTCAATAACTCATCCGCACATCTCTCTCTGTAAAGACCCCTTTAAGGGCCTCCACTCCAAATGTGCATTTTCAGTGACGAAAATATCTTTCAACAAGAGGGGAATACCACAGGGGTGATGATTTGACATCACGCCCAACAATCTCCACCTTAATGCAAAATCACACCCTTGCCTAGTCAATCCATCACTTCTTTTCTTTCTTGAAACCAAGAGAGGTTAGACTCAATTTTAACTTCTCTACTTGAATGGGCTTCGTAAGCATATCCGCAAGTTTGTCTTCGATCTTGATCTTGACCCATCGAACTCTTTCATCTTCAATAACTTGCTGAATATAGTGATAGAGAATCAATTTGTGCCTTGTCCTCTTGTGGTTAACCGGGTTCTTGGCCAAATAGGTAGCACTCATGTTGTCACAAAATAGTTCCATGAGCTTACATACAATGCCCATCTCACCTATCAATCCTTGAAGTCACACGACTTCTTTTGAGACCTCTGTTGCTGCCATGTACTTGGCTTCGGTAGTTGACAATGCTACTGTGTCTTAGAGCCTTGACATCTAACTTATCGGTCCATTTACAATCCGAAGAACAAATGTGGTAGTCAACCTATCTCTATCAAGATCACCGACAAAATTTGCATCCACAAAACCTTGTATTAGAATTGAGCCATTGCCAAATGTGATTGTATAACTAGTTGTACATCTCAAGTACCGAAGTACCCATTTTGTTGCTTCTCAATGAACTTTTTTGGGGTTTGCCATAAACCGACTTAGAACTCCAACTGCATGCGTGATATTCGATCTTGTACATACCATGGCAAACATTAAACTTTCAATCGCATCTGCATAAGGAACCTTTGCCATGCTTATTATTTCTTCTTCCGTCTTCAGACTTTGCATTGAAGACAATTTGAAGTGGGGCACTAGGGGTGTCTTTACAGGCTTTGCATCTTTCATGGCAAATTTTCAAGCACCCTTTCTATGTAACCCTTTTGAGATAAATGACAATTCCATTTTGTCTATCCCTTTCAATTTCAATTCCAAGGATTTGCCTTGTTGACCCGAGATCTTTCATCTCAAATCTTTTGCTCAAAGAAGTCTTGAGCTCATCAATTTTTCTCTTATCTTTGCACACCAAATGCATGTCATCCACATATAAGACTAAAATCAAATTTGTACCATCATCAAAGAACTTTAAATCGATACAATGGTCATACTTACTTCTTGTGTACCCAAGGCTCAACATGAACATATCAAATGTTCTATACCATTGTTTTGATGGTTGCTTGAGCCCATTCAAAGACTTCTTCAATTTGCACACAAGTCCTTCTTTGCCTTTTTCTATGAAGCCATCCGGTTGTTGCATGTATACTTCCTCTTCAAGTTCTCCATGCAAAAAAGTTGTCTTCACATCCATTTGCTCAAACTCTAAATCATGCATAGCAATTAACCCAAGCACCAAGCGAATTGTGACCAACTTGACTACCGGTGCAAAAATTTCATCAAAGTCAATCCATTCCTATTGCGAAAAGCCTTTTTCCACCAATCTCGCCCTATATCTTTCAAGGTTGCCATCAAGCCCTTTCTTTATCTTGAACACCCATTTACAACCAACGGCCTTTCTACCTTTTGGCAGCCCCACCAAATCTCACGTTTTGTTTCTTTAAGGGGTCAATATTTCCTATTCTATAGTTCTTTTCCAATGCTCGGTACCATTGCTATCAATGGCTTCATGGAATGATGTTGGCTCTTCATTTTCAGCTATCAAAGTATGCAAAGTATTTGGATCCACATAATCTTTGTGGCACCCAGGTGCACGAGTTTCTCTAGTAGAGTGCATTTGTGCCAAAGGCGCAACTTCATCATGATGGCTATGTGGTTCTTCATCTTGACTTCCTAATCCTTCATGCTATTCACTATGACCAATGGGTATATTCTCATAAGGCATAATTGTACTTGGTGGACGTATTTCAGGGTTGCCTTGAAATTCTTGGCTCTCTTGTTGCACTTCTTGGCCATTGTCCTTTATCATCATCTCTTTTGCCAATACCTTGGATTCATCAAAATGCACATCACGGCTAGTAATTATTTTCAGGTACTTGGATCCCATAACCGATACCCCTTCACACATTTGTTATAACCTACAAAGATGCATTTCTTTGACCTTGGATCCAATTTGTTCATTTGGCAACTTGGAATAAGTGCATATGTATCATAACAAAAAAACTTTCAAATCGAAGTAGTCACTCGGAGTTCTATACCAAACCTCATTAGGAGTTTTGCTTCCCAATGCTATCGAAGGTGATCGGTTGATAAGATAACAAGTCATTGCTACGGCTTCCGCCCATAGTTCTTGTTCTAGGCTAGCATTGCTTAACATGCACCTCGCACGCTCCATCAAAGTGCAATTTATCCTCTCTGCACACCATTTTGTTGAGGATTGTAGGCATTTTTGTAATGCTTAGTAATTCCTTCGACCTTACAAAAATTTTCGAACTCCTTTGATACAAACTCTCCACCATTATCGGTCCGAAGAACTTTGATGTGATGCCCCATAGATGTTCCAATTTTGGCTTTAAAATTCTTGAATGCACAAAACACATCACTTTTGGACTTGAGAGTTTTGATCCATACTTTTCTTGAGAACTCATCAACAAATAACAAAATATAATGCATCGCCATAAGATATAGTTGGTGAAGGGCCCTATACATTCGAGTGAATGTAATCAAGTTTATACTTGCTTGTATGCTTCCTGGCCTTGAAAGGTTGTCTATATTGTTTCTCATAGACACAATACTCACAAAATTCGAATCCATCAATTTTAAGTGTCGAAATAAAATACCTCTTCATAAAGACCTCCATATCCTTATTAATATTATGCCCCAATTTTTTATGCCATAGGCGAAATGGAATTTTCTCTTCTTCAAACCACAGAATTCACTTCATCATTTATTAGTGTGCTTCTCAATAACTTGTACAAGCTCCCAACTAAGACTTCTTTCATCACAATTAAAGACCTTTTTGATACTTTGATTACTCCACCTTGACCGGTGAACTTATATCTTTTCGAATTTAGAGAATTTAATTCCGGCACATGCCTAACATCTTTAATTGCCCGAATAGTACTATCAAACTTCCTTAGGTGAATTGAATCCATTCCAACCACCTTGCAAGTAGAATTATTTCCCATGGATACCGATCCTCCTTCACAGGACTCATACGAGTCAAACCATGATCTATGGGGGCACATGTAATGGGTGGCTCCACTATCAAGTATCCAATTTTGATAGAATATTGAATTATATGCTCCTCATATATACTTCATCTTCAATGAACTTGGATGTAGACTATTCAACTTGATTTGCTTCATTCTTGGATTCACTTCGTTTTTCATCTCCCGCATTAGGAGCTTTGGAAGAATTCACTCCATTTCTTTTAAAACAATTCTTCCTTATATGACCGGGCTTCCCACAATACCAACACACATTCTTGTTATTGAGCCCTCTCGATTTTGATCGAAATCTTGAATTACTTCTTGAATGATTCCTCGACGAATCACCCCATTCATTTCATAGACCTCTTACTACAAGAGCTTCTGTCTTCAATTCTACCGAACTTCCCAAAGATGCCTTCTTTCAAAGTTCATCGGCAAGTAGGGCACTACACACCAAGCCCAAATCAAGCAAATCCTGTTTACAATAGCTTAATGTAGTAACAAGGTTATTATAAGATCCTGGCAATAAACAAAAGCAAGGTGACCGTTTTATCTTCATCATTCATTCTCATACAAATACTCTTAAGTTGAGAAATGAGGTTAATAAGCTCATTCCAGTATTGCAACACATTTGCACATTATTTCATTCTCAATGTATACAATTTTCTCCTTAAGAAATTTTGGTTTGTGAGAGATTTTATTTAATACAAACTTTCCAATTTTCCCACAAATCTTTTGCCGTCTTTTTACCAACAATATTAAACAAAATCTCATTCGTTAAACATAAGCGAATAATGGCTCGTGCCTTCATATTGAGTTCATCCCAATTATCATCGGTCATATTTACCGGTTTGTGTTGCCCTTGATGTAACCAATAAATCTTGCATTTTTAATTTTCAAATTTCAAAATTATCTTTTCCATTAAACTTTTCCTCCTCAAACTTGGGAGATATCATTTCTCCAAAAATACTACACTAATTCCTTGAGCTCTGATACCTATTGTTTCAAAATCGAGAAAACCCAATCTTTTTGCTCACCAAGTTGGGATATCTCAAATCCCACTTTCCACACTCAAATAATATGTCCAAGATGCAATAACAAGTGCAACATAATTGAGAAAAAATATAAGAACAATAAAACAAGCAACATGAGAAATCATCAAAGCACAACACAAATGAAAGTAAAGAGGGACATGCACATATACGTAGTTCACCCAAAATGGGCTAAGTCCATGGGCAAATGTGTATTCACTATCAAGAGGAAAAAATTACAGGATTGGAGTTACGCAGAGTTACCTCATACAATATCAAAAAATGCTCAAACACATAACTTCCTACCATAAACCACCTATAGCGGATCCCTTTTTTCGATTCACTACACCCGTAAAGAAATACCGATAAAATGGCTCAAGACAAGCCCCCATGGTGGCGCTAGGGTTTCACAGTGAAACCCCCAAATTTTCTCCTTTTACAAAACTCTCTCTGTTTTCACCCTTTTAATCTCACACTCATGCACCTTTTTCATGCTCACGCCCGCGCACCTTTTTCTCCCTCTCGTGCTTCCTCTTTTTCCCCCTCAACAACTCATCCACACATCTCTGTCTCTAAGACCCCTTTTAAGGGCCTCCATTCAAAAGGTACATTTTTCGTGACAAAAATGCCTTTCAATAAGACGGGAATGCCAAAGGGGTAATGATTTGGCAGCACACCCAACTTATATTAAGAGGAGAATGCCACATGGGTGATGATTTGGCATCACGCCCAACAAATATTAAGTGATAGGCAGAGAAAATACAGAAAGAATATAGGGACAGTTAATACATACTCACCGCCCATAGCCTCCTGCTTTAAGTAGCTGGAAGAGAAAAAAACACCTAATTAAAAAGGGCAAAAAAAAAAAATAACACACACGTTCCAAAAAAAGTAACTATTGGACAACACTACTAAATCAACAAACACTAAATCGCTCTTAGATTCTTTCTATACCATATAATTTAAGAAAAAATACTGAAAATCAAGGTAAAACCTAATCAAACGTATTAAAAAAACAATCTCAAAACTGGCCTACGCTTGTGAAAAAAACTCAAGATAAATAGAAACATAGAATCTCCCACAAAATTAAAAAAGAAAAAATGTCACTTTAAACTAGAAAACCTAGAATTAAATACCAAAAAACGAAAGGACAAGAATAAAACAAAAATCATATATCACATTAGAGTTCGAGATATATCCGAATCGAAAACATATCGCAAACGAACGGTTTTTATTTTTCGTTCCTTCTAACTATACTAGTGAGAAAGATTATTGATGGGACTGCATATAAATGAAAAAATTAGGGCAAAGATAATATTTATTCTAAAAATCTTTAACCTCGGTGGCCTTCTCCTTTTTCCTCCTCTCTCTCTAACCGGCAATTCTTTCTCTCTCTAGCCTCACTTGACCCCCACTTTCTCCTCTCTCGATGCCTCCAACTCCCTCAGTTTATGGAATCCTAATAGAATTTCTAAAGCTTATCCCCCTGTTTATAGAACCTTAATAGAATTCCTTGATTTTGCAATAGAGTTTTTGATACAACCTTAACTCTTCTCCAAAATCAAGAAGACTTCCCTCTCGAAAAGTACAAATCCGAAGACTTCAACTCCCTTTCTGAATATGGAGGATTCAACACCACTAGCCGTAAATATTTCTATATCATACAATAATTCCCTTTCTGAATATAAAGGATTCAACACCCGTAAATATTTCTATATCATACAATAACTAAGCATATATCACGTACGTCCATTTTTATTTGTTTCATGGTTACAGACATCTTTGGTATCTTCGTCAATATTGGAGAATGTGGAATAGTGCATGAAACGACAATACTTTGGAGTCATTGAGAAATATTCACATCATGAATAATAAGTGCGACAATTCACATATTCATACTGTAATATGTCTTTTTGTCATGGAAAAAGTTTATACAAGGAAGCTACCTGATAATGAAGAACTACGGATGCCCTTCAAAAATCCATCGGAAAAGGTGATTTTAATGCTGAAAAATCCTTTGATTGATCATCTCGACATCGAGATGTATGACTATGAAAAATAAAAAAAATTCAAGTCTCAGAAATAGTGCAATTTACAACATATTATCTACACCGTCTTTCATATGTTTATAGATCTACTTGACTTTATCAATTTTTTAAATTTAAAATTTTATAATTAGTTATAGAAATAGATTTTGAGATAATACTAAGAACAATTTATATCAAAATTATATACCATGATAAAATTTGAAGGTGCACCTTACCTCTACACCAACGATGCATCCATATGCAAACTGCACCCTTTTGTCATACACCAATTATTTTATGGGTGGGGTTTGCATAAAGCTGAGGCTCTAAACAATCAAATTCGAACCCACCTTCACATAATATTGAGAAATATGGTTTCAATACGGGAAAGTTTTGTGATAGCCGTAAATTATATTTTCATCTGTAGTTAAAAAATTTAAAGCTTCAACAATAGTGTAGATTGATGAAATCTATAAAAACTTGAAAATCTTGAAAATTGACGGTCTAAAAAATGTGTTACAATATGCACTATTTCCAAAACTTGAAATCCGTTTTTTTCTCATGTCCATAGATCGTGATGTCAAGATGATCAATTTGATGATATTTGAGCATCAAAACAACCTCTTTTAGTGAAAATTTTGAGATATGCTCTAATTTGATTGTTTAGAGCCTAGGCTCTCTATAAACTTTTCCCTTATTTTATTTCTAAAAACAACTTTTCTTTTCTTACAACAATCAGCTTATGGGCAAATTTAGCAGATGCAGGAGTTGAAGCAAGTTTGATAAGAAACCCATTCAAATTCACGTATATGAGAATCGAAGAGTACTCCAAAGGTCACATATTAAACCTTTCAATTAATAGGATTCATAACAATACATAACTATCTCAATTTATTGTGACATTTCTCCAAGCAAAGTCAACCCTAATAACAAATATAATTGCAGAATCCCTAAATGCAGAGTTCCAATCGTTCGCTTCATGGTGTGTATAATAACTTATTCATTATAAGCTATACATTAAATAATTACATCTTCAATTTTTAATCTATTATGTTCATCCAATAGTTAATTTGTGCAATCCCAAAGTATGCTCAAACGACCGGCTTCAATAAACTCAATCTCAAGTATGATTGAAGCTAAATCTTTGAAAGGTATCCAACAAATCACTATAAAAGATCTAAGATGGTTACACAATATATTCTTGAAGCAATTTCTTTCATCTTTAAATAGTCATACTAACAACACATTCTTTTCTCAATGTCATTATATTTTAAAGAGTCGACCCAGATTCGTTGACATAAATGGAACAATAGTTGCAATAGAAAAAACAAACAACTCTAGTTATGAAGGTTGCAATAGGTGCTCAAAAGTTTGTCCCCACTTCCACAATAGCAGCATTTCAATGCACTTCATGCCAGTTTTTCAATGAAAGCCCAAGCAAGAGGTAAGTATGAAAATAAATTTATTGAAAGAAAAAATATTAAAAATTACCAATTTTCACTACATATACTATATTTATTTTTAGGTTTATTATGGAAGTCATTTTTCAAAACCAACAAAAGTCATTGCCAAGACTAATAATGGTTAATAGACATTTCGAGCTGTTGACAAGAATTACTGTTGATGCAATCTCTAAATTTGAACTGAAGGTACATCCCTTATTCCATTTCAACTTTATTATTTGCTTAGATTTCTTTAACCATAATTACTTTCCATTTACTGACAAAAAAAAGGATGGTACCTCAAGTCTTATGGCAAGATTCAAATATCAAAACATATATTGCATCATCCAACTCTGTTCTAAACAACTCAAAACAATCTCAACCTGACATATTGGTCATCCAATTACTTTCTGAGTACCAACTGAAAACATCATTCCATACAATGCAAGAACACAAGGTTAGAGCAATAGGTCACATTAAAATAAATCTTGTTGGGAAATTAAATTGTTATACTTTTCATATACTATTACATATGAAACTTGTTGAAGATTGATGTCTTGTATTCTAAGTAAATATATCTGCCAAGGTGGAGTAAAAAAGATGACTCTGGAGGGCTGTTCAAAGCCCGAAGGGTCGAAGGCTCGTAGGCCTTGCGTTTAATTGTTTTGAAACTTGATATATATATATATATATATATATCCATACAAGGGTATTTCGGTAATGTATACCATCTATCTGAGACTCGATATATATTGTTGCAATTGGGGGTTTATCAAGGGTTAAGGGTTAAGAGTTAAGGGAAAAACACAGATCCCTTTGTAATTAGATAAAAACAGAGAGGTGTGAGGAAGAGAGAATATTGTAACTCTATTTTCATTGCCAGTAAAGAAGCTATAATCTCTCGTGTACGTAAGAACGTTGCCGAACCACGTATATATTTTGTATTTGTTTCTTCTTTCTTTTTTCATAGATTGCTTTTCGTTTCTACAAAATTGGTATTAGAGCCTACAAGGTTGTTCCGCGTTCTGGGTTTGCTACCACGATGACAAGAAAGAGCTCAAGCGTCAAGTATAACATTGAGAGGTTCAATGGAAAGAACAATTTCACCATTTGACAATGTAGGATGAAGGATGAAGGATCTTTTGATATAACAAGGTATGACTGAGGCTTTGTCAGGGAAATCGAATAAACCAGCAAAGATGGACGATGAAGAATGGCAAGAGATGAAGGAAAAAGTGGTAAGTGTGATTCATCTAAATCTCTCAGATGACGCCTTGCTTCATGTGGTGGATCTCGAAACTGCTTTGGAGGTTTGGACAAAACTCGAGAGTATCTACATGACAAAATCTCTAACGAACAAGTTGTTCTTGAAGAAGCAGTTATATTCTTTTCAGATGGAAGAAGGCAAATATCTGCTTGAACATCTCAGCGAGTTCAACCAGATCATGAGCCTATTAGCAAGCCTTGAGGTCGAAATCGAGGATGAAGATAAGACCCTACTTCTGTTGCTTCGCTTCCAGGATCATACGATCACCTGGTTATGACTTTACTTTACGGGAAGGAGACTCTTGAGACGGACGAAGTCACTACTACTCTTATGTAAAACGAGACAAGGAAGAAGACTAGCAGTATTAAATCTCAAGGATAATGTTTCTTTGGAAAACACAAAGAGTAATGAAAAGAGCGGATTAAATCAAAAGAGGTCTGGAAGCAGAAGTTGGTCAAAATCGAAGGGGAAGGGCAAGTTTATTTGCTACTACCGTAAAAAGAAAGGTCATATGAAGACAGACTGCCCGAAAAGAAAGGAGCATATAAAAATGATAGAAATAGGAAAAACATATGATGAAGCTAACGTGGCAGATTGCTCTGACGGAGATAATGTAGATCTTCTCTCTATATCATCAGGTAATAATCAATTTATTAATGTTGAATTTTAGATTTTGGTTGTTCTTTTCATATGTGTCTAAATAAAAACTGGTTCGAAACCTACAAATCGTATAGTTGTGGGTCTATTCTAATGGGGAACGATGCGATATGCAAGACTATTGGAATAGGAACTATCAAAATCAAGATGTTTGATGGGATAGTACGAACCTTATCAAGTGTGAGGCATGCCCCACAATTAAAGAAAAACTTAATATCTCTGGGGGCTCTTGATTTGAATAGTTGCAAGTATACAACAACAGGTGGAGTCCTCAGAGTTAATAAGGGATCTATGGTTGTCAGATGACTGGAATATAGTTACAGGTGGAGCTTCTGTAACTACAGATGTTGAGTCCAACACAGATGACACAAATATGTGGCATATGAGTGAATGAG